AAATACAGGAAATCACTGGACGACCTGCATAGAGAATTCTGCTGTCGGTTCTCCGATTTTGGAAAAATTGACAAGTCACTTCAGCTGGTGTCATGTCCCTTCACACAAGACCCTGAAACTGTCCCACAGGAGTTGCCGTTGGAACTGATTGATCTTCAATGTGACACCGTCTTAAAGGAGAAGTTCAAATCTCTTAAACTGGATGAGTTTTATGCTTCATTAAGTGCAGCCAAATTTCCAAACATCCAGAAGATGGCACAGAGGATGCTGGTGTTGTTTGGCTCTACCTATGTGTGTGAACAGACTTTTAGTGTGATGAACACCAACAAAGCACCCCACAGATCCCAGTTGAGTGATGAACACCTCAGATCTGTTCTGAGAATTGCCACAACAAAACTAACACCAGACTTCGATGCACTGGCAAAAAAGTTTGATTAGCAACACTGTTCCCACTAAAAGTGAATGTAAGTATTAACACTGTAATGTCTTTTATATTTTTATGTTTGATATGTATGCATCTGGTGCTGGCCCGGCCTGTCTGTCAAATTTTAAAAGTCAATGTGGCCCCTGAGCCAAAAAGTTTGCCCACCCCTGATATAAAGAAATACAAATCAGAGTCTGATCCTGAATGTGAAGGAGGGGAACCTGCTGTTGCAGACCTGAGACTTCAACTGGATGTTTCAGAATGGTAGCATCGTGTTTAAGTTTCCTAATAAAGTAATAGTCATTTCTTCAAATGTAGCTGGAGGTAGCTAGCTTAGCTTAGCACAGCCATTTTCATTTATCTCCTTAGCACTTCCTTTGTACTCAGTATAGCCCTGCGCAAGGGGTGGTCGTATCCTTGCATATCTGATTTCACACCTAAGTTTAACATCACAACAGACACAGTTTAAACACTCACTCTCAAGGTGGGAGATTCCAAATTTTAAATAGCCTAAAAACACTGCTGAGATAGAGTTTAGTAATTTGACAGCAGAAGAGGATCTGCATCATCACCCTGAGCCATTTCAAAGCTCTTTTTATTGTTCTCCAATATACCAGCTTTTTAAACAAGTGTCCATTTTGTTTTGTGGATGAGCACTTGGTATGGTTGTAGTGTATACAGTCTGCAATTTCAAATTTTGGACTAATGAGCCAGACATTTTCCTCAGAAGCTAAAAGGAGAGTGAATACTGGAATATTGGGGGGCCTGAAACATTATTTCAAATAAGTGCTAATGTTGCTCTGTGTCTACAGGGTGTCTCATTTGCTAGTATGTCATGTCAACCTAAAGGGTGACGATATACTGGTGTTTAACAGTATTTTTAATCTAATACACAAGACTGGATTTTTTTTAAGTTGGTAATCAGACAGGATCGATGGGACTTTTATATGGTGGACATTTGCAGTTGCCAACTTGAAAAGCACAAGTTTTGTTAAGTATTTGGCTGTTACATGTAGCTGTTATGGGTCGGTTGGTATTATTATCACTGACCCTGGCTTACTGGGAAATGTAAATGGAACAGAAGCATCATTAAAGTTATTGGTTATGTCTGCATTTTTCTACTGTTATGTGAAAAGAGTGTATGGCAACTCACCAACAACATTCAAGAAAGTGAATGTGACCAACAGGTTGGCAGCCCAGTTGAAGGAGTTGGTGAATGCAAATGCCCTTCCTCTGACACCAGCTGGAAATATCTCACTCAGGAGAAGCCAAGTCACTGGTCAAAAACAAAAGAAGAGCTTAAATTTCTACCTCTAATATTGCATTGGAAAGGGTGATGCTGGATGTCAGATAGTGTGACTATAAAAGCAATAAAGCTACATTAGGTGTCTTTGCATATTAGTGGCTATATAAAATGTACTTACCGATTTAGGCAGATAGTATGGTTGTATTTTAGTAAATTTTGCCTGTATGGGTCTAGCTTTCTGAATAAAAAAAAGTCTACATTTATTTAAACTCTGAAAAGACCATTTTGAGTGAATATACAAACTTGGCCCAAATCCAACGGCGTATGCACTCACAAGAGCCATCATACATATGAGAATGATCCAGCTCACAACTGTGCCATAGATACTTGAAGATGACTCAGGAGCAGCCTCCAGTGGTTTCAGTCCAACTTTATAAAACACTAGATTATCATCTTGTGTATTGTTATTAAAAAATCTGTGGCTCTCATCAAGAGGTGTGTCAAAACCTGAGTGATTATCAGCAGTTAAATTAGGTAGATCCGTTATGTTGATGCTAAAATCCTCAGAAGTACAAGCCCTCTTAGCATTCATCGGTGAATGTCCACTGAGGATTCCAATGGTTATCAGACACAGCGCCATAATGAAGCATCCGCTGATGAGTAGGGGCCTTCTGCCCACCTTGTCTAAGAACACCATGGAGGTCAGAGTAGCAACAACTTTGATCAAGCCCAAACCCATAGACGCCAGCACTGCTGAGGCATTGCTCTGAAAGCCCACTGAATGGAAAATAGTGGAGGCGTAGAAGAGAATGTTTGGCTGGCCTGTGAACTGCTGAAAGAGCACTAGTCCAAGCCCAATGACAATGCGAGTCCTCATGTTGTCTTTACGCTGGAACAAGTACATGCTGTTGTACCAAACCTTTTTGTTGCTGGAGATGACTTTTGAGTCATCTACTTCTTGGGTTTCAGTGGTACTAATGAGATCTCTTTCAGCCTGACAGTAGTTGTGGCTTAAAGACTCTTCAGTGCTGGATGGAAGAAACCAGACAGATGCCAGTTGAATCAAAGTTGGTACTACAACTAATCCAAACATCAACTTCCAACCTCCCCTGGTGTCAGACAGAATGTAGTTGATGGAATAAGCTGCCAGGATGCCCACAGTGATCCCAGCTTCATATAGTGTTACCAAAAACCCCCTGCGATCAGGAGTAACCATCTCTGACACAAAGATGCAGCAGGACATGGAGGATATACACATGGCAAAACCAACTGTGATCCGGCCAACTACCAGCGCAGAGTAGGAGCTGATGAGTGGGGCCAGGTTGCCGGTCAGGATCAGGACATTGCTGAGGAGGATGGAGTTCCTGCGGCCATGGCGGTCGATCAGGCAGCCACCAATAGTGGAGGCCAGCAAAGCTCCAATCAACAGAGAGCTGACCAGAACTTCCTGCTGGACACATGAAAGCCTAAACTCTGCTTTCAGCTGTAGCAAAGCACCTGAGATGATGCCCAGCTCATAACCAAAGACCAGGCCACTCAGACTGGAGACCACGCTGGCCAACAGAAGGCTGGAGCAACCTAGGAGTGATGAAATATTTAGATTAGTGCTGAGCAATGACTAAAATCCTTAATCACGATTTTCTGTGATTAATCACGATTAACTGCATTGTTATGAGCAGCATTCAATAATGAATTCAAAAGTAATGTATTGCGCACTTTTATTTTAAAAGTACTGCTATATGAACAAAAGTGCCATAACATTTGGTTTGCAAACACTTTAACATATAAGGTGCTTTTTAACAGTAGTATTCCCTTTACACAGTAGCAGTTAAAATATTTCTTGTAAATCTCAAGCATTAATGTAATCAAATCAAATATATAACCAAAGTTATTTGCACACTGCCAGGGCATTAACGTTTTATCTATTATATAATTCTTATTGTGATGGCGCATCCGGTTCACGTGAGCGCTGCAGCAGTCTTAGGCCCACCCCAAATGCTCACATTGGTTGAGACACATGATGATGCCCATCCCAAGCCTGTACTGATGAACGTCCCACGCATCCTGTGACCCATGGTTTTTCTGTATGTATTCAGAGCCAGTGAGCAATGGACTTTCAAAATTATAATGATAATATTATTAATAATGATAAACTACGTTAATGGGTGATAAAATAATTGTCGGCAATAATTAAGTATTGTGTTAACGGGAAAATAACATGTTATTTTGCCCAGCCCTAATTTAGATGTTTTTTTTCTGAGATAAGCAAAAGACCTTTATGAACTCTAGCCATGGTGAATTCATGAACTTTTACATTAATGTTTCAAGCTCATCAGAACATCCGAATTAATCGCTGAGAATGTCAAAGCAACCATTAAGGCTTACTGGTGAAGATTTGGATATGGACAGAAGGGAAGGACATGTCTTAGTTGAGTTCATCCTTTTCTAACACTTTCTTTCAAAGAGTAGTAAGTACATAAATCATATCCTTCAGGGTGATTTTATACACCCTGTTTCCATCAGATGAGTTGAGGAGTAGGAACCTTTTTCAGAAAGTAGTTCCTCTACCTGCATTTCCACCAGAGGAACCAGTGGCTAAATTTAGTTCTGAAAAAAGTACCTAGTTGGGCAGAAGTTCTTTCTGAAGGTTCAAGAACAATTGGGGCGAGACCTGCAGTGCTGAATGTTGCTGACTGGCCAAATACAGGGCTCTAAGGTGTGAACGTTTCACACTCATATGCAAGTAAAAGCCAGAGTGTGCCAGTGTGAAAAATGATTTGGGCGCATTGATACAACTGACTGAATTCCCTTGGTTTTCAGTTTGTATGGTACATTTTATCAGTAGGCCTACACAAAGAGACCAGTGAGTGAGAATCGTGGATTGGAAAAAGTGGTTATGGTGCTTCTCCTAGTGTTTGACTTGAGGGCTGAGCTCTGCCGCTTCACACATGGAGCCCAGCAGGCAGAGGCTGTGGAGGAGAGCATGACATTGGATGAAGTGAAACATTAATGGGAGTTAACAATCTCTGTGCTTGTTACTCTATGTCCAATAAAACCTCAGCGAGTAAAAAAACAAAACAAAAAAAAAAAACAAAAAAAACTGCTAAATGAAGATAGATTTGCAGTGAAGTGATCATTTCAGCTTTGACTGCAGTTTGTCCTCCACCACTGGTATGTGTTAACCATAGCCAGCATTTCACATGCAGCATTCTTACAACACTGCTGCTGACTGTTGTACTTCAGCGGGCTAATCTTGCCTGGGCTTCTGGTGGAAACGCAACTTGAGACACTTACCTAAGCTCCAGAGAGGGTGCCTTAGCTTGAGGTGCCATAAGGACAGCTCAAGGGTGCTGCAACATTTTTTAATTCTCATTTTTCTACTGTGTGATTCACTTCTTTTATAAATAGAGGAATCATTTACATTAAAGCTGCATTAACTAAAATTTTCCACAAATGTGGATAAATCAAGTAAAAACTTGTCTATAATTGTTGTCACCCTGTTGTACTAAACCCCCCATCCCCCACCTTGTTTATTTTTTACCCTCTGTGGCCACTGTTGTTAACATTCATACTGCACTTCTTCCATGCCCCCACTGATCCGAGGTTATAATACCAGTATGGCTTATTTCAAAGACAGACCATGGAGGTTCCCTGTGCAGCTACAACCCAGGTAGGGAGCTGAGCTGTTAGACCCAAGAGACCGGTTTCTCTAGCACAGAAAGAGTCTGACAAAGAACAAGGCAAAACCAGGGTTAACATCAGTTTGGCATGTCGGAGATGGAGAGCTCTAAAAGCATCTAAAGCATATGTGTTAAACTCAAGGCCCACGGGCCAAATCTGGCCTGCTGGATCATTTTATGTGGCCCTTCAAAGCTTAAAATGCATATGGTTGTTTTAAAATTAAAGTCTATACTAATTGAAAACATACACTGACCATAAACTACATCTCCCAGAATGCACGTCGATTTCGGGACCCGCGAAGTACTGGCATCCCACCACTAGATGGCAGTGTTTAGTCTTCAGCATTTAACCAGTAACTTCCCAAAAAGTGGAAATGAGAAATACCAACAATTAATCCCAAAATGTCCAAGAAGAGAAAGGTTGATGCAGAAGGAAGGCAATTTAATGAAAGGTGGGAAAGTGAGTATATGTTTCTGCTTCAAGGAGAAAACCTGTGTGTCTTTTGTGTCATGAGGCAGTGTCGGTGGTGTACTGCAACATGCATCGGCATTTTGAGACCAAACATGGAGCTAAGTATGCTAAATTTAGCCTCCAAGAAAAACAACAATTTGTCAAAGAATTAAAAGACAGACTGCAGTTGCAGCAGGAAATGTGAATTGAACTTTTCAAACTTATTTTATTGAGGAAAAAGTTGCTGCAATCTCTTCAAGTTCATATTTCTGGTTAAATCATTGTCAGTTTTAGACTGTTCAATAAATGTTAATCCGGTTTGGCCTGCAGCTGTGACTGTGGTTTAATTTTTGGCCCTTGTGGATAACTTGATGGCGCCGACAACTATGGCCGCCTTGTGTACTCATGTTCTCTTGTGTTTGTTGGGTTTTTTTGTTTGTTTTCTCGGTCTTTTGCAACCCATCCTGGATTACTTTCATCAGAGAAGAACGGTTAAACATCAACAACTCACACCAGAACACCTTTCCCTGACTTTCTTGAACAAAAAATGCTGTGTGGACATTCTGATCAGCGGCGCAGCTGCAATCTACGGGACCTGGAGGAAGCGCCGATGAGGCAAACGAGCGGGCACCTTAGTCAGGCTATGTCAGAGAGGGACCCGGACTCCACTCCCATCCATCCACCTAGCGAATGTCCGCTCCCTAGTCAACAAGATGGATGAACTCCTTCTCGTCAACGGAACCAACTCTGACTTCACACGCTCCACTGCTTTATACTTCACAGAGACTTGGCTCAGTGACACCATTGTGGACAGCTGTATGAAGGCCACGATATGCTAACCCCTGGACATAGGCTAGGACATGAACTGTTATGTAACATCCAACACTCACTGTGAATTGGGTAATCAAACACTCATTGTGAATCCTGTGCCTATATGTGTGGCCTTAACCATTACCACTTAAAAATGTAAATCCACTAAAATCATAAGAATGTCAATAACATCAAAACTTGACTCAATAAACAGAGAGTATTAAATCTTTTCAGGAATTGTATATAGAAGCTTAAAAGAGTTACAGCAAGCAGCAAGCAATAAGATACAGTATAAACCTTAAAATCATCAATAATTGTCTTGATTGGCTTACAACCTAAAGAAATCAACAACTGCTATCTCTAAACATCACTCTAAAATATTATACTGATTAAAATTATTATGGTTGACTTTTATTCAGATCAAGAGCTTAGCTCAAAGGTATTCTCACTGAATCCTGTTGTCAGCTGGCTCGAGGTGGGGTGGTGGCAGGTTAAGCAGTTGTTTGTTCCTCTTTTCCCTTTAGGCCAGGATTCAAGCTTTCAAAAGGGGAAAAAAATTATACATAAATAGAAAAATCAAAACTCATCAGAAAAACCTCATTCTCTTCTGGTTCAATCTTCAAAATTCTCAAAGAGAAAAATAAGGGAAAAAATAGGGAAATGTTCTTGGTCAAATCTTCTGTAACTCAGGAAAACATAAAGACATGAAAATGTTTAAAAACAACACTCTGGTCTAAATCTTCTTTCTTCAAACAGGGAAGGTAAGAGTATCAAGAAACCTTCTGCATCTGTCCCCAGTCCTCTTTCTTTTTTCCAAGCCATCTTCCCGCACAGGCCAGGGTGGATTATGGTATTCTGTTGAAATTCTTCATTTCTTCATAAATCATCTTTTAGGCAGAAATTCAGAGTTCTTCTTGCTGAACTGTGAAGCATTTACACAGTTCCATTTTCACACGCCTACATCCATTTTACCTTCACAGGCCGGAACGGCCTGCAGGGCAGCACCCACAGAGAGGTGTTCTCCCGGTCTGCCTCTCGGCAGCCTTGGTCTTCTGGAAGTCAGAAACCGGACAGAGCCTCTGGCTGCAACTGTGAAGGAATACTCTCGCTCCTCTTTTTGCCCTGGTTTTTAAAGGATTCTGGTCAGCAGACTTAGTCCTCTCATCCAAACAGATGCCGCAGTTTGCAGTTAATACCATATTTGGTGTGCAAAGTCGTATTCTTCAGAACTATTGCATATTTTTTACTGTCAAAGCTCAAGTCCACTGCTCATAACTGGCCTCCACCTCACTGTGATCCAGCTCCAGATTCTACTTCTCCTTTCTCAGAAACCTAAATCATCCTTATATCTAATGAAAATACAGAAAACTCACTTCTGATTGAAATACAAAAAATCCCATCATTGCTTTTAACTAAACACTCAGAATTACACACAAATTTTACTCAAAACTATCAATGCCTTAAAATTAAAACATGGATCTTCCATATTTTGAATACAATGAACTAAACATTGATTATTATTGATTAGACATTGATTACACAGTAATCATCAACCAGATCTTTACTTTTAGGCTTGAAATCATCATTTCTACTTTCCTAATAATCTCTGTCTCTTTCTCTGTCACATACACTCACTT